ACAAAAAAATATTTTCATTTGAGGTGTTGGAATTTTAGTTGTGAATCTGAACTTTAGAAACAATAACGAAAATGAAAACTTTTTAAGGTTAACTTTGAGCATGTTTAGGAGTGCTTAAAAACGCTTTATAATGTGCATTTCTTAATAGCACTAGACCTAGAAATTGATCAAAGATCCATTGATTTAGCCCTAGAAATTGATCAAAGATCCCTTGATTTATTGGAGCCAGAAATGTGGAAATTACACTGAAACAAATATTTAATTCAAAAAACAAGTGTAAGAATTGGTTATCCAAAAATCAGATGATAATTTCACATTTTAATATTAACAGATAATATTATAAATTAATTTATGAGTAATGTTACACATTTCCAGTGGGGATAAAAATACAGTTTATGTGACTTTAAATGATATGTTAAATGTTAAATGACTTATTTAATTTCACATATTATTTAATGTCATTAACGACACGTAGACTGTGTTTTCATTCCCAATAAAGATGAATAGCATTACTCTTAATTTATATACCTACGCCTAATCCACCCACCCGATCCAAACCCTGATCATATTTACACTATCCCAACTCTCTCTACACTCATCCGTCTATCTCTACACTCACCCTCGCTCTGGACCACCATCGCTGTGCACAATCTGACGAAATCCAATGGAATCGATGGGCATTGCTACACGGAATGTCAATTCACCCAATGAGAATGTGAGTACTCAGACGAGAGACGACTTCACAAATTTCAAGAATTAAAGATTTATGATAGAGGCATCTAATGATTTGTAATGTCAATTTGTGTGAATGCAAATCGGAAGCTGTAATCTACTTTTTCAAATGCCGAATCGGGCGGTGACAGCAATTGGGTGATTGCTTTTAACTTTTCAAAAGTTATGTCAAATAGACCCCAAAATGTTTACAGAATTTTCTGAAAATCATTCTCCTCGTTAACTCTTTACAACCTCTGACAACATGAAATTAAAAAGAGTTAATACGAAACCTTTTTAATCTGAATCTTCTCCAATTCTCGTAATTCTACTTCTTTCTCTTAATTTCTACTGTCTGCCCGAATAAGGTCTGAAATTTAGGGTCTGTTCTCTTTGTCGTTTTCAGGCCATTTTCTGTTTTCGATTTTCCAAAATACTGAAAACGCGTTCTCTTTTCCATTTTCGAAAATCCGTTTTTGAAATCACAAAAAAAAATTGTACTAAAAACACAAAAC